CTTTCGAATGAGGTATCACAAAGGGGGGGTTGCCATTTGAAAAAAAAAAGTTAGCCCCGCCCCCCTTAAGGGGGGCCGCCCCCCAAAATTTTGGGGGGACCAAAAAGTTGCTACTTTAGACCGAGGAACATTCCCAAAGTTTCAAACTTCTATCTCAATTTGGAAAAAAGTTACAGGGGTGGTCAGTGACTTTTGGATAACCCTGTATAGATTACGTAGAGGTCGTGAGATCAATGCTTCGAGCTGATTCAGTGAGTTTATGAGCAGCAGCATAGGTGATATCTCCGGCCGGTCTCGCTCCTGTTTCAATCACCTTCACATCACAATGCTCTTCTTATAGGTACATGATTTTAATTCCTCCGGTGAGTGTGATAATAATATTAATAACTAGCGACCCTTACGTGCTTCGCACGTAGCAGTTTATGGTGACTGAATGACAGGAGAAAAAATACGGTGATTTTCAGATTCAGCCGCCAAAATTCTGTCCTTCATTCTCTTCTTCCGTTTCTTTTTCTTCTTTCTCTTCCTGCTTTTTTTCCTCTTTTTCACCTCCTCCTGTCCATTCTCTTCTATCCCCACTTTGATTCTTCCAATGCAGAGAGGTACCTATTTTTATGGATGAGCGTCAAATTGTACTTTGTAGTTGATATATAAAAATATATATTTATGTAATTTTTTTTTATTTTTATTTATTGTACTTTGTAGTTGTTGTACTTTTGTTGTTAGAATGGGCTTGCAATATTTTAACAAAGAGAAAATCAGCAAATTTTATTTCACTTTCTTGTTGATCGGTTTTTCAGACGTTGGGGTTCCTGGTGCTCGGAGGAGATGACACGATTTCACTTCCCACTTTAAGACCCCTCATGGTAAGGCAATCTTCCAAAATGAAATACTGTAGTCCGGTAGCCCGGCCGCCGCGCCGCGCCGGTCGCATCAAATTCCTAATTATTCTCCCTATCTTGCAATAAACCGTGAAGCATGTTGCACAATTTGATACATTAGTGGGTAGGTAATTCTCTGCTATCTCTATTATTTCAGCCTGAAATTTTCGAAAAGTGAACTCTGAAAGACGCCTTGGCAGATATATTTGTTTGAAACCCCGCGTTATTTGGTATCGGAATCAATAATGGTTTCCACGAGAAACAGAGTTTCAGTCTTTTGCCGGGCAGGCAGAAATTATGAACCCGGAAAAAATCTCGACTCAGTTTCTCTGCTTTTTTCTTTATTTCCCTGGTAAAAATTGGCAGTAGAATCTGTGTTTCAAAATACCATAGACCTACAGTCGACCGTAAGATTTCCAATCTATACTATAAGCTCTCAAGCCTCCTAATTTTGCGAAACTGGTAACGCTTAGTTCCAGCGTTCTACCGGGCCGATGTTTATGATTTTTGCGGCTATCGACGGGCAATTGTCTCTAGATAAGCCAACTCTTTTCAGATTTTCAAAATATGGCCTAGGTTTTTTTATATTAAGTGGTAAAGTTCCGAATTCTCCCATTTAAACAATGTAAATTTATATTTTTTGTCATAGTTCGTTTGAGCG